ATCTGGTCTAGGAAAGGTCATGTTAGGGTGTCGGTACATAGTTTACAAAACCACAGACGTGTTAAAAAGCAATATATCAACCTCTTCTGTTCTCTGTACTTCAATATATTTTGACTTTTAGTTTAGATTTCTAAGACATTTGTATGTGGCAGGAATTAAGAGACAGAGGATAGCTACGCAATCAGGAATTGGGACCATAGGGGAGGGAAGAAATAAAACCAGGGAACACAACAAGATGGAGTGACTAAGGCACCTCAACTGGGCAGGGAAGGAAGGGTGCACATGAGGGGCATGAACTTTAACACTCCGGTGTGGGGTGAATTTCCCGCCAAAATATAAGATGGCTCTGTCTTTTGGTTTTGTTCCATCCACCAAAAGGGTGGATTACAAACAAATATTTGGTAATACGCAGTTACAATCGGCCCGAGTTTACACGTTTCCCGCACTCCACCGCAAATCTATATGAACCGAGTTAAAGACGGCTCCCGCGGAGTACGCGCAGTTCACGCGAGCCGACTTAACTCGTTTCCCCCACTCCAAGTGTTAAAATCCTATCTAATAAAGAGGTGATATGCAAATTGACCATCACTCCAACACACAAGATGGCCGCCCCCATGTGGTCAAAGATGGCCAGCAGGGGAGGGCAGTTGGGGGTGACCAGGCCAGCAGGGGAGGGCAGTTAGGGGCAATCGGGCTGACAGGGGAGCAGTTAGGCATTGATCAGGCTGGCAGGGGAGTGGTTAGGGGGTGATCAGGCAGGCAGGCAGGTGAGCAGTTGGGAGCCAGCAGTCATGGATTGTGAGAGGGATGTCTGAATGCCTGTTTAGGCCTGATCCAGGTGGGCCTCTAGTGTATGGATATTGCTAAGACAGGCAGCGTGCAGATAACCAATCAAAAGGCAGTAAGGCTTATAAACCAATCCCAGGATGTTGCTAAGGCAGAATTCTTTAAAAAGACCAATCAGGAGCTAGCACGACTCTATCCACCCCCTAAATTAAAAAGTGCACACTTCCTCTTCAGCTCTCTCTTCTCCCAGCATGCAATGGGTTCCTGAGGTTTCTGTGGCAGGGGAGCACATCCCTGTGCCCATGTGACTTATGGCCATGTGGGACTCTACCCATGGACTAATAAACTTTAATTCACATGGATGCTTTCAATAAACTTTGGTTCTGCTAACCGTTTTTGTCTGTGACTTCATTCTTCAATTTTGAGAGACACCAAATTTGGACTCAACTCCCGACATTTTGGTTTCAGGGAGACAAACCAGGGGACCTTCAGTAGGGGATGTATGGGTTAAAAGAGGTGGCGATTGATTGGGCAGCACTGGTAAAGGAGCAGGGAAGAATAACAAGGATTACTGAACACCACCTGGATACTTAAAGATGCACCTAATTACCTCACTTATTCCACACAGCAGCCCCTTCACTCATCACAGAAATGCACCTTCAATGTGCCAGGCATTGTGCTTGGTAGAGACAAGGCTGGACAAGACCAAACCAGTTTCCACCCTTGTGAAACTCACATCTAGTATAGACAACAAACAAAGAAGTAAATAGACAAACAAATTACAAATTAGGATAGGCACCATGGAGGAAACAAGTGAGTTGAAGTAGCAAATAATACGAGGAAACTACTTCCTATAGGAAGATCCAGAAAGACTATTTTTGAGAAAGTAACCACAGGAAGACAACCCAAGAAATAAATAGAGCGGTCCATGTAGGAAACAGAAAAAGAGCAGGATGGCATGTGCAAAGGCCCTGGGATGAGAGAGATACTATGTCTAGTGAGTAATGAATGGGGTGGGGGCTAGATTAAAAGTGGAAAGATCATTAGGAGGCTGTTGGTGTAGCTGAGAGATGAGATTTGCCAGATTTAGAATAGGAGTATTAGAGATAAAGAGAAGTGAACACTATTACTGAATATATATTGGAGGCAGAGTTATATTTCCTGGTGGTACTTGCCCATATACTTATTAATATCGCCTGCATAACAGTTGAGAAACAGCCTAAAAATTGGGAAATAAACTAAAACTCCTATAGTAAGTAACTTCCTGATGGGTTGTGAATGCTGCCTTCCTCAATCCCTGTCCACTGCATCACACTCCCTGGCTTTATTAATTCAAAATCAATGTTGGTTTTATAGAGTTCTAAAAGTGAAAGCTTTTGGCAGTCTAATGATTTTGAATTATAATTTGCTTTATTAACCAGGACAGCTTATTGATTTTCATTTCGTAAATTCCTAGCTTCATTTCATCTGAAAGAGGCACCCAATCCGAAAAGCTCTCCAGATACATTTCTTCTGTCCAAAATGTCAACACGCTTTTGCATTTCTTCCAGAAAAGTGCTGTGTTATCACCAGCAATGAAAAAGTTTGCATTGGCTAATGCAGGAGTCTGTAGCAACTCTGAACCATACGCTGCTCTTACCATAAATCTCAACTGGGTTACTTGAGTGACCAACCTGCTTTGTCAGCTTTGCTAAAATTATGCCTGGACCTGCCCATATTTAAAGTGGCCCCAGGGCTAGGAATCTTCCACCTCGCCAAGTAAACCAACACATGGAAAAGGGTTGGAGTCAAAAGCTGAGCTGGAAATTACCCTGCCCTTTCTAAACTCAGAACTTCTGTAGTTAATTTCTTCCCTTTCATTCTGTTTACTGTTGAGACTCTGGGGTGTATGCTAGTGAGGCTCGCCAGGGCTTCCATGTCTCCTTTTTCTTGGCTCATGGCAGGATTGTACTTCCTCACGCTCTGTGATTGGGAAGGCACACCACTTGTTCTAGAAGTATCTAGGAGCTGCTGGACAACTCCCCCTGCCCCCTGCCTCCTGCTCCTGACTGCTGTACAACCTGGTCTTAAAGAAGCATGATCATCAGAAAGGGAGGAGGTGTGATACAAGTGGACCTGGTTTTAATCATTCTTCGCACCTTACTCCCTCTCTCAGCCTTCTTTTGTTCAGCTGTAAAGGAGACAATAGCAGAGTTTGATATAACAATGTAGTATGCCAAGTGCTGAACAGAATGCCAAACGATAGATGATGTTCAATGAGAATAGGTGGTTTTGTGATGGATAACGATAAATATACTAAAAGTCTAGACAGCGATTCTCAACCTGTGGGTCGAGACCCCCTTGGCGGTGGAATGACCCTTTCACAGGGGTCACCTAAAACCATCCTGCATATCAGATATTTACATTATGATTCATAACAGTAGCAACATTACAGTTATGAAGTAGCAACGAAAATAATTTTATGGTTGGGTCACAACATGAGGAACTATATTTAAAGGGCCAGAAGGTTGAGAACCACTGGTAGGATATGCTATGAGGCAGAATGGAATCTGAAGAGACTACAGAAATGAGAAAAAAATTGTCATTGATCCCTTCTCACTTCCCTTTTCTTCTCTCCCTGCACACTTCTTCCTCGACCCGGGCAGAGCTGCCCGTCCCTAAGTGTACCTGACGCTGTCCCTCCTCTCCCCACTCCTCTGTCACAGCCGCTCCCAGGAAAGCATGTCTCACTCATGAAAATAGCTGCATTCTAACAGGATTTAAGTGAAAGGACTAAAGCACCAACATAATGCATATGTTTAAATATTGTAGACACTCTTTGTCAATTTTTAAAAATGTCACTTCTCTTTCCCCTTTGCACCATATGTATTCACATTTTTCTCTGATTCCTGCACCCAAGTAACACACAATCAAGAGGAGGAAAGAGAAACAGAGAAGAAAGGAGGGAGGGAGGCAAGGAGGGAATGAAGGAAGAAAGGAAGGGAAAGAAAAATTCCTATTAAGAAAAACAATTCTAAAATCAGGTAGAGATACTTACCTTTCTCTGAATGACCTGATGGTGTTCTAGCAGCAGAGATTGGGAGGTCTTGGAGTTATTCTGTCCTTGTCCTTTTTCTCAGTAAGTACAAGGTGGGGCAACAGTAAGTTTACAAGTTGTGAATTTGCAGAACAAGAGTTTAGTCTTGTATTGCTATTTATTTATTTATTATTTTCCATATCAACAACTGCAAACCTACTTTTGCCCACCTTGTATAGAAGAGATGGAAAAACTTTTTATAACACTTCTTATAACATCACTAGAAATTGGTCATTTATTCCCAAAGCAGAACCTCCTGCTTGAAAGAGTTTTAGCCCTATTTGATTTTGTCATTTATTCATGGGTAGAATTATTACAGAAACATATTTTAGGACCACTAATCTCATCACTAATGGAATTGTACTTTTGTTCTTTGAACAACTAACCATATATCTAATGTAAACCAAAGGGACAAAAGAATTTCCTCATACTTAGTCTAGGATTGGTCTTAGCTGAACTTTTGCTGCTTATGCCTTGTCAGGTAGCCATTTTCATCCTCACCTGAGAACTAGTAGGACCTCTACTAGTTTTGGCAGATATCTCCCTCATGGGAGAGGGTTCATTTTTTATATAGTTGCAGAGTCTGGAATGTAAAATTAAAATTATTAAGTACATAGTGTTATCAAATGGATCATATCAATGCAGTCCCTCTAATTCCTATAATTATTAGCATATAGAGATATACCCTAAGTAATTATAGGCATTTACATTTAGGTTTCATTGTGAAACAATTTCTAGAAATTGATTTGTTCAACTGTGTACCAGATGAGTAATAAATAACTGGGTGCTGGCAAAATCTCCCACCGTGACTGTGAAAATGCAGCAAGAGTGTTGATACAAAAATAACTTTAGAAATATGTTGAAACGTTCACTATTTTTCCAAAAACAATTGCATCACTTCCTAGAAACATAAGTACATGGCTTTTCAACCATTGTGTGTGTGTGTTTTTTATATAAAGTATGGGAGGAGTCTTTAAATAGAGTGATGAAATGAAAAAGTAGTCAATGGAATTTTACTAGCACAACCTAGAAGTCAGGATCAGATCAACAATATATGCACGAGAAACAAACACTGAACAATGTTCTGTGTGAGCCCTTGACCCCACTGTGAGCCCGGACTTCTGCCTGCCCTCCATGGCCCACCCCTTAGATCAACCTCCTCCTGACAATCTCACCCCGGGACCAATCCCCAGCCAGAGCCCAGGCCCCCTTGGCCCCTGTGTGGCCCTGGTGCCACCTGTCAGGGTCATGGCTTGCGAGCCACCTGCCCTGCTGGAGCTGGTGGCTGCCGTGAGGGACGTGGGCAGCCAGCTGCAGAGGCTGACCCAGGCCCTGGAGCAGGACCAGCGGGAGCGCCAAGCCCTGGGAATGGGGCTGACCCAGCTGGTGGAGGCTGCCCAGGGCCTGGGGCAGCTGAGTGAGATTGTGAAGAGACTGGCAGAGGTCGCCTGGCCCCCCAGCACACCTGCCCCAACCACCACCAACCCAGAGGAGGAAGAGAGGCCTCTCCAGGGAGACGTGTGACCCTCTCTGGGACTTGAGGGGTGTGAGACACTCCCAACCAAAAAAGGAAAACCAAAGTATGAAATTAAAAAAAAAATTTTAATTTGGAAGCCACCAAAGCACAAACTGGAATTACACCATATGTATTCACATTTTTCTCTGATTCCTGCACCCAAGTAACACACAATCAAGAGGATTTCATTCACTGGACTGGACATCAGAGGGACTATGAGAGGCAGTTGACCTGAAACCCAAGATGATACTTTTATTAGCAGATAAAGCAGATTCTTATGCCTTTTGTATATTTGGTTCCCCAACTTATGGTATTCTTATGCTCTTTTGTAAATTTGTCTTTATATAGGCACAACATCCTATCTAATAATAGACAAAAAGGGTAATTGACCGTACCTTCACTACATCTCCCATTGCTAATCAGTACAATATGCAAATTAACCGCCAACAAATATGGCGGTTAATTTGCATACGTAGGCGCCCAGCGGCTATCAGAGCCTGCAATCAGAGCTGAGAGGTCCCCTGCCCAAGCCTGATGCCTCGGTCAGACGCACTTAGGCCTGAACATGGGCGGAGCTGTGATAGTGGGGAGCAGAGGCGTAGCCGCTGATGATAGTAGCTGTGGGTCCTCTACCCAGGCCTAATGCCTTGGTCAGAGGCATTAAGCCTGGGCAGGGGCGGAGCCGGCAATCGCGGGGGGCTGTTGGTCCTCTGCCCAGGCCTAACACCTTGGCCAGAGGCATTAGGCCTGGGCAGCGGTGGAGCTGGCAATGGCGGAGAGCTGGGGGTCTCCTGCCCAGGCCTAATGCCTTTGCCAGTGGCGTTAGGCCTGGGCAGGGGAGGAGCCTGCGATTGTGGGGAGCAGGGGGTCCCTTCCCATGGTATTAGGCCTGGGCAGGGGCGGAGTGGGAGATCGCGGAGAGCTGAGGGTCCCCTACCCAGGCCTAATGCCCCGGCCAGAGGCGTTAGGTCTGGGCAGGGGTGGTTCCAACAATCGGGGGTAGCAGGGATGGAGCTGGTGATGGTGGGAGCTGGGGGTCCCTTGCCCAGGCCTAAGGCCTTGGCCAGAGGCGTTAGGCCTGTGCAGGGGCAGAGCCAGTGATTGTGGGGAGCAGGGAGGGAGCTGGCGATAGTGGGGAGCAGGGGCAGAGCCAGCGATCATGGGGAGCAGGGGCTGAGCCAATGATTGAGGGAGCTGGAGGTCCCCTGCCCAGGGCTAATGACTAGGCCAGACGCGTTAGGCCTGGGCAGGGGCCAAGCCAGCAATTGGTGTGAACTACAGAGGAAACACCTTTTCTGACTGCTCATTGGCTTAGCTCCCTGTATGCCACTGGTAATATTCTTAGTAACTTGGATAATAAGAATCCAAATAGGTGATCTAGGGTTTTTCACCACACTCCTGGAGAAAAAAAGGAAGGTCCGCTGCTGGAGGGTTAAGAAATGTCATATCCTGTCCTAGCCGTTTTTGCTCAGTGGATAATGCCCACTACTGGGTCTGGGTTCAATTCTGACTAAGGGCATGTACCTAGGTTGCAGGCTCCTCCCTGGCCTGGGTCCAGGTCAGGGCTCATGCAGGAAGCAACCAATCAAAGTGTTCCTCTCACTTTGATGTTTCTCTCTGTCTTTCCCTTTCTCTTCCACATTCTCTAAAAATCAATGGAAACATATCCTCAGGTGAGGATAAAAAAAGAAAGAAAGAAAGAGAAAGAAAGAAAGAAAGAAAGAAAGAAAGAAAGAAAGAAAGAAAGAAAGAAAGAAAGAAAGAAAGAAACTAATGTCATATCCTATGAAAGACACTTCTTGAAAATGCCTAAAGAAAGTTGTCATTTTTTCGTGGTAAAGGGACTGGAGTCCGTGTTGATGAAAACACCTTGGTGGCTGCGGTGACTGGCAGTGGCTGCAACAGCGGGGTGATGGGGCTGGTGCCTTCCCTGATCAGCCTGGTCACCTCCCACAAAGGGAGGCCAGACTGCGGCTTAGGCCCGCTCCCCAAGGGGAGCAGGGAGCAGGTAGTAGGACATCCCCTAGGGCTCCCAGTATGTGATAGGGGCAAGCTGGGCTGAGGGACCCCCCCTTCCAGTGCACAAATTTTTGTGAACTGGGCCTCTAGTTGTAAATAAAAGTCCCAAATAAGCAAGCCTGACTTAAGAAGGCAATAACTGGACCACCACTTCCATCTGTGTTCAGGAGTACCATCACATACCTGTGTGAATGCCCTCTTGTTCAAATAACTTTAAACATCCTTAATCATCCTTTTTCAAATGGGTAGCATCTGGGTCCCTTCAGATTTCACCCATTAGATGAGTTTATTGCTGAGATTTAAAAACTACCAGAAAAGAAATCTGAGTGTTCAAAGCAGTAAAATCAACCTGTGTTCATAATGGAAGTGTAAGAATTCCTAAAACCTCTTGCCCAACATAAATAGAGCAATTTGGTTTTCATCAAATTTGATTATCGTCCCCACCACTTGCTTTATGAAATGTGTACTGTTTGTTTATTTATTTGTAGGAAAAACTTGCAGCTATTTCAGCACTGGGAATCTGACCACTTTCGAGTTATCTTTCTTAATTGGAGCCAAGGGTTGTGTGCATCACTGAGATTTTTTATTCAGTCCATAAACCTGTTAAATTCCAGAAGCTATATCATGTTAGATCTTATGATTTTGGAGTTTAGGTTTGGCTTCCTCCCTAGATCAACCAACCTTTCTGTAATGGATTGAATTGTGTTCCTCAGCCCAAACCAAATTAATATGTTGAATTCCTAACCCCCAGGACCACACATTGTAACTTTTGAAAACAGGGTCTTTGCAGATGCAATCAATTAAGATGAGGTCATACTAGAGTTGAGTGGGCCCCTAAACCAGCATGACTGGTGTTCTTATAAAAAGGGGACATTTGGACAGGAGAGAATACTATGTGGGATGATGTGACTTGCCTAACAAGCCAATGAATGCCAAAGATTGTGAACCTCTAGAAGCTAGGATTCTGCTAAGTTGGGAAACAAAATGGGACCCACAAATTCAAGCTACTCCTTAGAAAATAGAAATGGAGGTAGTGATGTCAGGGGAAGAACAGCAGTCAGCTACTGGATTGAGTGATGTCTTTTCTAGTTCTAGGAGAATAGGAACTAGATCAGTGGTTCTCAACCTTCCTAATGCCACGACCCTTTAATACAGTTCCTCATGTTGTGGTGACCCCCAATTTCATTGTTACAAATTGAACATAATTAAAGCATAGTGACTAATCACAAAAACAATATGTAATTATATATGTGTTTTACGATTGTCTTAGGCGACCCCTGTGAAAGGGTCGTTTGAGCCCCAAAGGGGTCACGACCCACAGCTTGAGAACCGCTGAACTAGGTGAACTTCCTCCACTGCAGCTACACTCCCAACTTCCAGCTCTCTGGGCCACATTTGACAAATGTAGTTTTCAAGCTCTTGTGTGCATTACCAGGAGAGTATCTAAAACATAGATTCCTGGGCTCCAGCTCCAGGGTTTCTGATTCAGTAAGGTCCAGAGTGGGACCAAAGATTTTGCATTTCTGCCTATTGAAAATTATTCCTAAGTGATGCTAATGTTGCCAGTCCAGGCATGATACTTTGAGAACCACTACACTACATAAATGTTGTCAAGCCTCCCTGATGAAACAAATCACCTGGCAGGAACTTGTTTTTAAGAAATACAATATCCCGCCCTAGCCGGTTTAGGTCAGTGGATAGAGCGTCAGCCTGCGGACTGAAGGGTCCCAGGTTCGATTCTGGTCAAGGGCATGTACCTTGGTTGCAGGCACATCCCCAGTAGGGGGCGTGCAGGAGGCAGCTGATCGATGTTTCTCATAGATGTTTCTAACTTTCTATCTCTCTCCCTTCCTCTCTGTAAAAAATCATTAAAATATTTTAAAAAAAAGAAATACAAAATCCCAGGTTCCCTGCCAGATTTTTTCTGGCTCATGACCTCCAGGGAAAATACCAGGATTTTCTATTTTTACAAACGTTGTGTGATTAATATGATTAGGCAAGTTTGGGAAATGCTGCATCAAATCTCCATGAGTTTCATTTTAGCATCTGTCATTTTCCCACTTACCAACTGGTAGGTTTTGCAATATGGTATAGTTGTGTGATAAGTTAAGAGTAGCACAACCCTTGGGTTCTGTAACCCTAATATGCTGGCCCTATACCGACCAAAAAACCCCACTCTTCATTTCATGAACAGGTTCTCTGGGAAACAGTCTTAATACCAACTGGTCCCAGTCATCCAACTCAGTCCAGAGACCATCCTGAAACAGGCTCAGATGACCTAGCCTTCACTGGCAGCTCTCCTTCTTTTCAGCTCTTTCTTATCTCAGCCCACTTCCTGCTCTGAATATTAATGGAGGCTCTAACCTCAGGCTTTTTCCTCTTTAACTTTGCAAGCTCTTGCATGTAGGTTATGCTCTAGGAAGTTTTATTTCAAAATCACCTCATATTTTGGCAGAAATAGTCTTGCTGGCACCTGCAGAGGAAATCCCATTGGTTCAGCAGCTGGCTGATAATAATGCAAGTTAACCCTTTAAAGGATAGTTGGAGATTTGCAAAGAACTGGTAGTAAAACTGCTTGGGGCTCTTATACCATGTGCTGCTTTGGCATACACATAATTCCTGTCTCTCAGATCCAAATTCCAACCACTTATAATTGAGGCGTTCTGTAAATGACTTTTTTTTGGGATCATATTTTACCTCAGGGAACTTATAGTGGTTTTAAAATAATAGCATCATGCATGTCATCTTTATCCTTTGCAGCAAATCTATAAGGTAGGCTTCACTCTCTTTTATAAATAAGGACACGGAGGCTAAGTGAGATTAAATATAGAAATTTTCAAGGTCACTCTCAGTGGCCTGTGACATTCTTTCTCAGTTTTGTCTGCTACATACACCTGTGGGTGGAAGGTTGAAATTCAGCTCCCATGCCAAGATAAGAAATGACATCATTGACTAAAAGACACGTTATTTTATACACAGGAATATATTTATCTCTTTTATTTTTTTTCTAAGAGCAATCATCCCATAATCAACAGATATTTACAGTTGTTTTCTTCAAGAAGTCTAAGAAGACTCTCTTATATGCTCAAATTTAAAGGCTGACCAAAATGGCACAACATCAAAGAGGAGAAATAAATAGAAAGCCAACTCTTGACCCTTACTTATAGTGTATCCGCCTAGTCGTCTTACACAGCACGTATGGAGACTGCAGTCAGGTCACTTGCACTTTCCATCAAGTTTTTATTGAGCACTTTCTATGTGCTTAGCACTGTGCTGGACTCTACGGGTACAAGATATATACAAAGCATGGGTCCTGCCCACAAGGAGCTTACAATATGGTTAAGTATTAAAAAACAATGATGACAAAGCTCTTAAAATACACATTGTACAAATCATTTTTATATAAAAAAGCATTTCAGATAATAAAAACAAAAGAAAGCCTTAGGACAAAAATGAAATGGAAAACGCGTTTATCCATGGGATGAGCCTAGAGATCATTTGAATTGACAAAAAAATTCAGTAAAAAGCCTGAATTAATGGAAAATATGAGCACAATGTTTTAAACGAGCAATTAAATATTTTAGTATTCATAGTACCTGAAAGTATATCAACCAAGGTATATTTTTTACAGCTCTTTAAGGTACCTCGATAATTACAATCATCTTAATAACAGATCCCTTTGGAATGTGCTTCCAACTACTGAGGATGTTGATAAATTTTGTTCCCTTAAGTAGTATATATGGTTCCTTATAACCTGGATTTCATCATTTATTTAATTTTTAAAAGTCATTCTTATAGACAGTAAAACTGTGGATACATTCAACTTCGTCTAAATTTTTAAATATTTTACAGACCAAAGTCCACTTATTAACTATAAGACACATATACATATCCTATATAATAAAGAACTAATATGCTAATTAGACCAGATGGCAGAACAACCCTCTGGAACGACCTTCCAGAACAACCAGTGGGCAAGGAGCAGGGCTACGGGGCCATGAGGCCAGGGTTGTCCCACCCTCTGCAGGGCGATCAATGGGGGAGGGGGTGCTCTGCAGAGGGTGGTGGCAGCTGGGAGTGTGAGGGCCAAGCCCCTTGCATGAATTTCGTGCATTGAGCCTCTGGTCCTAATATATAAAAAGCAAGGGGCCATCACGACCAAAAGAACCAGACAGACGACTGAACAGCAGGCTGCGTGGGGCAACAAGGCCGGCAGGGGGATTAGTGAGGGACGACCAATGACTGAACAGCAGGCTGCTTGGGGAGCCCAGGCTGGCGGGGGGGGGGGGGGCAGTTGGGGGTGACCAGGCCAGCAGGGGGGTAGTTGGGGGTGAACAGGCCAGCAGGGGGGGCAGTTGGGGGCAACCAGGCTAGCAGAGGGGGGCAGTTGGGAGCAACCAGGCTGGCAGCAGGGGAAGTTGGGGGCAACCAGGCTGGCCGGGCGGCAGTTGGGTGTGACCAGGTCAGCAGGGGGGCAGTGAGGGTGACCAGGTCGGTGGGGGGAGCAGTTGGGAGCAACCAGGCTGGCCAGGGGGGGGTAGTTGGGGGTGAACAGGCTGGCAGGGGGGGCAGTGAGGGGCGACCAGGCTGGCAGGGGGGGCAATTAGGGGTGATCAGGCAGGCAGACAGGTGAGCAGTTAGGACCCAGCAGTCCTGGATTGTGAGAGGGATGTCCGACTGCCAATTGTGAGAGGGATGTCCGACGCCCCAACTTCCCCCCTGCCAGCCCGGCAGTCGGACATCCCCCGAGGGGTCCCGGATTGGAGAGGGTGCAGGCTGGGCTGAGGTGACCCCCACCCCCCTGTGCATGAATCTCATGCACTGGGCCTCTAGTTTACATATAAAAGATAATGATTAATTTTCTCTTCCTTCTTTGAGAGAATTTGGACAAAATATAACTTCTGATGGAAGCTCAATCTTCTAACCCTAACTTTTCCTGTTTTTGTTTGATCTCTCTCTGGGTCTAAGATCTTGGCATGGCTTGGCATGCCTCTGCATATTACTCTGGCAAAACCTCTCTTGGGAGCAGCACAGCTGGGATTTGTTTGTTTTGTTTCACACTGGGCTGCAGTGGTGCTGAATTAAAGCACTGATTCTGCAATAAGGTGGAGGTGGGAGTAGGCAGTAGTTCATTTCTTCCAATGTAGAAGTCATACGTCAAAATTACCCCTATATATTATATGTAGTCAAGAGCCAGGTCTGTACAGTCCACTTATAAAGCATCTTAATACCGCATATTTGTTTTACATATGGATCCCATAGAGCTTTACAGTAATTACTAGAACTACAATAAAACTTAGATCAAGCACCATTTCTCACATGTAATTTTTTAAAGAGTTCCTAAGAAATTTATCTCATTTTGAGGTTTAATTCTATCCTCACTATAACGTATTATATAGTTATGAGGATCTGTGTTTACTGAAGACAATAAAGAAAATAAAGATGAGAGCATTTGTTAAAAAATAATTGTGTTACTGAATCATGATTCAGAATATTTGATGTTATAGAGCTTATTATTTTGGGTGAATTAGTATGAAATGGATATTTTTCTGTGGATTAAAAAGTATTGAAACTATTTTATACTGACATATGCTGTCTCTATATCAGGTTTCAAACTTATTGGACAAAGATCATTCCTAATTCAGAAATATCTTTACCAAATAGTCAGTCACTCTTTTTCAAATGTTTCCAATCATTTTGTTACTTGATTACTTTCACATATAGAGTCTCAATAAACATTATTTCAATCTGCCTGTGATTATTCTGCCTGTATGTAGCGTTCTTAAATCAAGAAAGTTTAATATGGAAATTCCCAAGTTGGAAACATGGAAACAAAGGGCTTTATATCACATTTGATGAAATTTTCAACGGCTGATCTTGTACATACGTTGTTCCTTTTTTGAGAATTTACCAAATAAATAGCATCTTTCTTGGTGTCAAGTACTGCACTAGTGCTAAGAAAGCTATAAAGAAAATCTGATTAAAGAGTCCTGACCATCACTAAATACAATTTTGCCACAGGAAAAAGACATACATAGTGAAAATATTTACGGAATAACACAATACTCTTCAAAATGAGCACTATATGACTTCAGAGTCGTGGATAGAGGTAAGAGGAGAACAGAGATACTCAAATTATTCAAGGCTGAAGGTCAAGGTGAGATTTGAACATGTGAGAGACGAGTAGGTTTTGCATGGGCAAAAATAATCATGAGGTATTATAAACAAGAATAAGAGCCAGGGATCTGAAGTTTATTCTGTTCATGACATTTAAACCCACACAGTAAAGAAGCCAGTTTATAGTTGAAATTGAGAACTCATATCATATAGTTGGAGATAAGTCTGGATAAAGAATTAATCACAGTTAGCTCTTACAGAGTACCTTTTGTGTTACACCCACTTTACATACATTATCACAGTAACCTCACAGGTACTATTAGCTTTGGTTTATAGATTAAGTCACTGAGACTGCATGAGGTTAATTAACTTTCTCAAGGTCACAGAGCTAGTGAGTGGAACAGCTAGATTTAAATCCAAGTTTGATTCCAAAAACCCATGCTTATGTTACTACATCACATTGTCTTATAAATAGAATGTCATTGTAGCAAATCTCACATCTTGCTGGGCTATTGGGACAACCTGGAATCAAAATACTTGAGCTTGGATTTGATTTCCTATATTAGTCATGCAACATTGGACAAGCCCTCTGTAAACTTTACCCTTTTTTGTAAAAATAAAATAATAAATAGATGACAGCTAGACAGCCACAAAGATAAATGATGGACAGATAGATGTAACAGAAGCATGGGCCTTCTTATTATTGGATAATTCCACTTGATCAATAAAATGTGTTGAGTTAAATCTGAATCAAGGGATTGTGTACATCATCTGATTTGTGATAGTTATATAAAGTCATTTCAAATACAGGTTTGAATGAAAATAATTGCAGTTTATAACTAATTCACAGCTGGTTCAACTATTTAAGAGAAATGACTCAACTATTTTTGGCTTAATTTAGTTGGCAGAAATGACGATGGAGTCATAGTATAAGCTCCCATGACTCCTGATACTATATTATCATCTCTTCCCCAAATGTTCTTGTAGGTGACAGCATGGCCCTTACTTAGCACAGTTCCTAAAGAAGAGACACAATAAATTAAATTAAAGAGAAGAGGAAAGGAAAGGAGGAAGAGAGGACAGGGAAGACAAGAGATAAAAAGACTGGTTGAACTTATAGGAAGGTAAGATCATATTATATGATGCAAAGTATTTTTTAAAATTCTATAGTTCAGATAAAATGGGTTTTTTCCTTTCATAAAAAGTCACAAATTTTGATATGTGATAACTGTGTTACTTATTAATATTGCCCTTTTTATGCTATTAGAGAATAAATTTTAAGAAATCCTGAATTAATAGTGGTGAACTGAAGGCTGTGCTTGGATGTCTATTGCTTTTACTCGATGGTTAATCATCTAGCCTCATTATTGTTTTCTATGACACTTCAAGAGAGCCCTTCATCATGCCTTTTAGTCTTCAAAGACAGAGAAATGAGAATTAAATTGATTCCAGAGTCACTAAGTGGCAGATAACCAGAATATTGACGTAGGGACTTTGAGTTCCAAGCTTAACCCAGAAGGACATAACTCCAAAACATTAGTCACACATTTTGCATAAATAACTTTTGTCATAGTATAGTCCTGCCTTCAATTAACATACTTTTCTATCTCATTTAATTTATGTCCTACTAATTGAATTCTGCCCTCAATATGTTGATTTTACATTGTCAAAAGTGTATACTGATTTTTCAAACTCATATTGTAAAACCAAAACAACCACAAAATGTAAAGGTGTTTACATGGGTCGAAATTCAGTTAAAGGTTTGAAATTGGGAACAAACTCCTGGAAGATGGTTTGTTTTTTTTTTTCACTTTTTCGCCAATCATCATCTATGTAACCCTGCCCAATTTCTTAAAGACATATTCAAAATCCAGCTCAAGAAGTCAATTTAACGCTCAGAGGCAGGAATAAACCTATTCTCAGTGGGTATTACTGACAAGAAAAAAAATTAAAGTAAAAAAAGATGAAAATTAAGAAACAATCCAAATCAAAATATAAAATTCTCCTCAGGTGGGAAGAAAAACACAAATTTGGGGAAGCAGGAATTGTAAGAAAAAGTCCATCTTTGTTCTTTCATGATCTGTTAGAATAGAGAGAGAAAGATGTAATAAGCATAAACAGGGTTTGTTTATTTATTTATTTATTTATTTATTTATTTATTTATTTATTTTTATTTTTATTTTTATGGTATGAGGCAGGGGTGGGGAACCTTTTTTTCTTTGAGGGCCATTGAGATATTTATAACATCATTCATGGGCCATACAAAATTATCAACTTAAAATTTAGCCTGCTATATTTGATCAAACATTTAATCAACTCACCCCTAATGCAGGGCCAGACGAAATGTTCTCATAGGTTTTTATATGGCCCACAGGCCAGATGCTACCCACCCCTGGGAGGAGTAAGATATAAGTAAGCAACATAAATATCTTAGACATTAAAACATTCTGGTTTGAAGTAATTACATGTGTGTTTTTGAAATAAAAGCTATTTAAATAACTCTGGATTTTGAACCACTTAAGCCTCTGGATTATTTAATTATGCTAAGTATATGCTTTTTCTGAGTAATTTTTCTGGTTTCCAAGTAATTCAGAAGAATAATTAAATCACGAAGCTATATCAATTATAGACACATCAAATGGCAAAATAATCTTACCATACAAATAACCCTAACCAGGATATAACTGTACCCTAAAAATGTATAAGGAGGAATGCAAATTGAAATAGACATGATCTGCAATTTTTGTCCTATCAAACCAACAAAGTAGTGTGTGTGTGTGTTTTAAGATATACAGAGCTGGTTAAGGTAAAGCAAAGCAGAAACTCTCATTCATTGCTGAAGAAATTTTAAATCTCTAGAATTCTTTTAGAAAGAAGTCAGACTATATGCATCTTTAAAGAATATTAACCAAAGGACTTATATGCAAGCATATAGGCCTAACCAATGGACACAGACAACAGGGGGGTGAGGGCCTGAGTGGGGGGGATGGGGGGTAATGTGGGGATGAGGACACATATGTAATAACTTAATCAATAAAGAAATTAAAAAATAAAGAATATTACAATTTTGCATATTATTTATTCTTTAAAGTAAACTTATGGTAAAAAACAACAGCAACCAAATATATTTTTAAAAACCTCTGCATTTTAATTTTGGGTTATGATGGTCTATTCAACATGGTGCCAATTTGAACACAGATTATGGTTAAGTAAGCTATAGTATATCCTTTTAATAGACTATTAATGAATATTAAAATTACTTTAAAGTAATTTGTAAATAATCTAGGGAATGCTTATTTTATGTTAAATGAAATATAATAGGATGCAATAATGCATATGTAATATTATCATAAATATGTAAAACAAAATCAAGAAAAGTGCAGAGGAAAAATAAGAGAAAAATATACTAACATGATGGTGGAGTTTTCTTGAGTAGTGGAAGTAAAGTTTAATAAGCTGCCTTTTCTTTCTAATGTCCTTTATTTTCCAAAGTTTCTGTAGATAGCCTCGCTTATTTTTTATGATGAGGGGAAAGTATATTAAGATTTACTCTAAAAAAATAAAAAATGAAATTAGAGTACATTTATCGATAAAGAGATGGAAGTTGGATATTTTCATTCTTTTTTGAAAATATATATTTTTATTCATTTCAGAGAGGAAAGGAGAGGGAGAGAGAGAGAGATAGAAACATCAATGATGAGAGAGCATCATTGGTTGATTGCCTCTTGCATGCCCCATGCTGGGAATCGAGGCTCAACCCAGTCATATGCTCTGATGGGGAATCGAACCATAACCTCATAGGTCAATGCTCAGTCACTGAGTCACACCAGCCAGGCTGGATGTCTCCCTTCTAGTCCCTTCATTTGTTTTTCAGGGGAATCTGTGTGTAGAGTAAAACGGGGCTAGGTTATGTGTATCATATGTACATATTTAGGGAAAGGATATAGGACCATAAAGGTGAGCTGAGAAAAATGTTATTGGCCTTGTGACTTATAAGCTATGTTTCAGGATCAATTAGCTTATTCTTATCCTTCAGGAATTGTTACATACTATATCTCTATTGAAAAAGACATTTAAATCTTCTGAAGAACAAAAGTGATTGTCTTTCAATTACCCCAACTGTGGGAGAACTAATGGCCAAAGAAACTGACCTACTTGAATGTCCACATCCATAACAACTTATACTGAGTAGAGGAGTTATGGTACCCAGCCTTAGACAGGAAATGAATAAAATGAACATGCTAACTTTTCATTAAAATGAAGAATTCAACTTATGCAAAAAGTGAAGTATGGAACTTTTCACATAATCTCATTAAAACAAAAACAATCCCACAATGCCAGAAGGCTATTCATGTAATTAACCCTACAGGTAACAACAGAAATATTGAAAAGAGGTGTTTGAGGGAGGAAAGTCAAGTGCTCAGAATTTAAAATGAGCAACTGTGCATCCTATTAGGCATTATGTTCTGTTTTCTGGAGGGTTTATTGAATTATATGCTTTATACAAAACAGATCTAATCAGAAGGGCAAGCAAGAGTGTGCTAGAGAACACACCGAGTCCTGCTCTAATTAAAACAGGGGTAGCTTAGACTTAAAATACTCTCCAAAACTATTTTTACTATGAAACATCAGTGACATGCAGGCTCTTTCAGGGCATGAAAATTGATCAGTCACATGATCAGACTGGACCCAGTTTCAGAAAGTTCTCAGTTGAAGGAAATCTAAGTGAATAACAACAACAGCTCCTCTAAGGAATCTAGTCCTCCTTAATCAGATAAATGTGCTTAACTTCCATTTTATCCTTAGAGCTATTCTGCCTTCCTAACACAAACTCAGAGCAAGGGGATGGGGGAAGTCTATGCTGTCAATCCAGGTGGTTTCCGAATCTCACCTTCCCAAATGGTCACTCCACATCGATGTTGAGGAGCACTGGTGAGGTAAGGAGGTGGAGCTGGATGCATACTTGTTTTTGTGGTTCCTGATCTGTAAACAGACAGAGATGTCAGTGGACAGAATTCTTTTTTTTAAAATATATTTTTATTGATTTTTTACAGAGAGGAAGGGAGAGGGATAGAGAGTTAGAAACATCGATGAGAGAGAAACATCGATCAGCTGCCACCTGCACACTCCCTACTGGGGATGTGCCCACAACCAAGGTACATGCCCTTGACCGGAATCGAACCTGGGACCCTTGAGTCCGCAGGCCGATGCTCTATCCACTGAGACAAACCGGTTAGAGCAGCGAGGCCACAACACTAGTAACAAAGAAACAGAATTTCTGGAGGATGAGGCCAGAAATCAGGATTTTAAAAAGATTCCCAGGTGATTCTAATATGCAGCCAAGGTTGAGAACCACTGTTGTAGAGCAAGCAAACTTGCGGCACTCAGGCTGCATGAGGCCCACAACGAATATTTTTGCGGCCCAGCCAATACAACAGCATCTAAGAAACGTTTTAATAAAATTTCATAACTTAATTTTTACAATATCCTGTTATACATAATTATTAATAATGAACTACAATGTTTGCTAGTGACTAATTACTATAACCGTGTTGCATTCATTTCCCTTAGGCGCCTTACGCGCAGGCGCACCATTTCTCTCCACTAATACTAGCAGCGAATATTTCAGCAGCCGATTGCCACGTCATTAGTCTTGGGTTGTTTAGTGTGCACAACAGGAAATATTTCACTTTTGGAGAACAAAAAAAATAGGTTTATTTGTATTACGCTTATTTGTGCAGTTATTCAGTGTCTGGTAAGTTAATGTTCAAGGGCAAATATTAATTTTTATTAAAAGGTTCTATTATTTTATGTTAATGATTACTCATTTATTTCAGTCCTTTGTATTCAGCATGTCTCCATCGAAATAAACCTACGTTTCTATGAAAATGGAAGCTTTTGTTGTTTTGAACTTGACTTTTGGACCGAATTATTTTCCTGTGGCAATAGTGGGAAAGGATTGAAATATGAGTGGTCACACTACTGCATCTGAACACAGCCCAGTTGTTTGGTCTACTGCCATGGCTTGGTGGCTGCTGGGCTGTCTGTGGTTTGGCTGAGAATGTCTGATGCCTGTCCTAAAGCCACTCCGCCCCGTCTGGTGATCACTGTGCTGGTTTAGCTGTGAGGTTTCTTCCAGGATGACCCAGGTGCACCACAGAATGTGACTACTCATTAGCAGAGTTCCTTCTGCTCGCCCCACATCAGCTAATTTCTCCCCATCTACTGAACAGCTGAGGGGTATAGCGGTCTATTCCGAATTTCAATGCCAAATTTGTAACATATTATATAGGCTTGCTGGATTCCTGAGGAATACAGAGAAAACCATTCAATAATTACTTACCTCCTAACACCTCGAATTACCGGTGCCCTTATTACAGATCATCCTGCCCCCACAGCTATCCCTTCCCTCGCCTGCCTTTCTGTTAGTTGGCTTCATTCCATCCACCTTCAAATAGTCACACGCCTCCTTATCTTGGGAAGTGAAATACACAGAAACACCTGTGCTTGACTGCTTTATTCTTCCCCTTCCCGAAAGTGTGGCCCAATTCCTCACCTTCCTTTACTACCAGCTTCTCTACGTGACGCATCTGCTCTTCCTGTTTCCTCTCCCCTCAACTCCCTCCTAAATAATAATCCAAATTATAAAGTACTTTCTTTTTTCCAGGCACTGTTCTAAATATTTAACAAATAGTAATTCCTTTTATTCTTTCAGGTTGGTACTAGGATCAACTCCTCTGGACAGATGGGAAAACTGAGGCCCAGAGAGGTTGAGTAACTTGGCCAGGGCGACCCACTGGTACGTAGCAGAGCTTGGATTTAAATGCAGGGAGTCTGGTTGAGAATGTGTGCCGACAACACTTGACACATCCGCACTGTCCCCACTTCCTTGCAACTGGATTTTGTCCCCATGACAGTAAAACTAGGCTCTTGGAAATGTTAGGTATTTACTGTCGGCTCTGATACTGCAATACTGAGGCTAGATACACCTGCACTGCATGTGAAGATCTAATATTTGCAAGATTGTCCCTCTCTTGTTATACAAGATAACAAAGCTTCATTAATCTGAAATGAACAAATCATTCTGATGAGGGCTGAACTAAAATTTATACTTTTATGATCTATGTTCTATGAAAAAGGGGTTACTTGGTCAAGGTAATAAGTAAACCATTTGAATCAGCAGAGGCATAATTTGACTTACCGCAGGGGGGATAGGAATACTTTAAAAATGTTTAAATGCAAATTTAGCTTTCTGATGCCAAAAGAGTTTTGCCTACTCCAGACAATAACATATATTCTGCACTTCTTGATTCCTGCCTTGAAGCAATGTGCAATCTAGAAGGGAAACTATTGAGATAATAAGAAAATGGCAGAAAATGGCATGTAATCATGCTCTGGAGCATAAATGGTGACTTTTGCCATCATCTAATTTGTTGGAATTTGCAAAGCATGTCCCGAGAGCTGGAGAGTTCTCAGGCACCATGCCAGCTGTCACCAAGAGGGTGGTGAGCCCTGCAAGAGTAAAAAAAACTGCACCTTTTCAAGCTGAAAGGTGTCTTAGAGATCATGCAATCCACTCATTTATGGAGGAGGCTACGAGGGCAAGGTTATTTTTATAGTCACAAAGCTAGTTGGCAGCAAATTCTTGTCTGGAATTCTGCTTCCTTATATTTTTCCTTTTTTTGTGTTCCATCACGAGCCCCAATAGTTAATCTGTAGACTTGATCCACTTGTAATCACCCCTAGAGTAATATAGTTATTCAGCAAACATTTATTGAGAGAGACAGACAGAGAGAGACAGAGAGGTGGATAAATGAGCAGAGTGAAAAACGAAGATATGTGAATGTGACCTGGCAGTTAAACCAGGCAGTACATGAACTCCATGGGGACAGAGATTTTGATCTCTTCTTATTCACAATGCATTGCACCCTTATTGACCAGACCAGGCCTGCCACAATGCAGCATAATTACTACTTCATATTTTAAGGAACAGTTTCCTTGTGTTTTTACCTAGAGTGTCTGTAAGTGGGGGGATATTATTCCCATTTCATAGGTAAAAAGCATTAAAACTCGGAGGAGTTAATGATTTGCTCATCTAGACCTAGAATCAAGACTAGAAATTAGGGCTTTGCCTCCTAATTCATTACCTAACTGTAAAAATATTGCTTTCTAACTAAAACAATCAATTAGCTTATTATTCTGTATGAGGGATAAAGATAGACATGCAACCTTCAGCAAACTCTAAAGAAATGCATATGGCTGGCGTCATTTCTGCCCCGGGTCCTGCTATCTCACACTAACTACAAGCACTTCTTATGCTTCAGAACATGTCTTCCCTTCTTTACTTTCTTCTCAGAGCGGTAGCGAGTGCCTCTTCTAATGAGGGTCTTGATGGCTCTCCATGAGACTCTGAGCTGTTACAACAATAAAGGCTCTAATGTCTTACAACCTTCTCCTCAGTAGACCATCATCTTTTACAGCATTATTGTCCAAAATGACTGCACTGTAACCAGACTGTGTGGCCGGCCATACTTCTATTTAAATCCTTGTCTTTTAAAGGCATCCTACCTTTTCCCCCTTCTAAAACATTAAAATATATTCCAAAGAGAACAAACCTTAAATACAGTTAACACTGGTTTCCTCACAATAGGACAGATTGTAGAAACCCTAAGAATTTAGAGAAAGGGGAAATAAAGTGATTAGGGAAGGTGGGGGGATGAGGTTTCATAAAGAGGTACAGGGTGTGAAGAGAACTGGTAGGGAGGAGGGTGAAGCTTGAGCAAAGACGGAGGCCTGAACAAGCAAGAGTCAGAGAGAGAAACAGAGCAAAGATGGAGGCCTGAACTGAGACTGGGTAGAGCTGGGCATCAACTGGGGCGGCAGAACTATGACCACACTCAGACGAGTCTAAGACGTTGACACAATTTGGGGGGATTACAAACTAAGGATTAGTAGCCAAAACCCTGATGCAGGAGGAAGCGTCCAATATTAAAAATGCCTTCTGGGAAGGGCATTCCAGACCCCACCGACAGCAGTAGCTGCTCCAGGCTCTGGCTCCCATGGAACACTGTCTGCACCTCCACTGCAACTCTCACCATTCCTGGCACCTCTGCTCTCATGTGTGGCTCCCAGGAGATTCTGAGAAGCTTGAATATCAACATTAATATGTAAGTCATCCCACGAATTGTCTTTATTTCATCCTACAAAGTAACGGGGTTTGGGGATGTTTTCCCTTCAAAATTCTGACCAACATTATATAAATGAAATGACAGTTTCTCAATACCCTAAAAGTCTCGCTCATCTTTTGTGGGGAATATACAGAGGCAGGGGTATTTTGACTGTAAAATGCTTCTCTGTAAGAAAGTCTGTAATAGTTTTTTCCATGGCATTTGGTAACATGTTTAGATACTATACTTTCCAATAGCCAAGTAGTCATTTTTGCACTGCTAATAAATGTTTAATTTCTTCTCCAAATAGTTACCTTTTATTGGGAGGGCACTTACAATATTTTTCATTTGAATATCCTCTATAATAAAACCCTAATATGCAAATTGACCCAACAGTGGAATGATCGGTTGCTATGATGCTAACTGACCACCAGGGGGCAGAAGCTCGATGCAGGAGCTGCCCCCTGGTGGTCAGTGCGCTCCCACAGGGGGAGTGCCACTCAGCCAGAAGCCTGGCTCACAGCTGGTGAGTGCAGCGGCAGTGACAGGAGCCTCTCCTACCTCCGCTGCAGGCGGGTGGTAAGGAGTGAGGGGCCCCGGACTGCAAGAGCCCGGGACTTCGAGAGAGAGATGTCTGACTGCCGGCTTAGGCCAGTGGGGTCCTGGACTGGGAGAGGGCGCAGGCCGGGCTAAGGGACTCTTCCCCACCCCAGTGCACGAATTTCGTGCACTGGGCCTCTAGTTCTCTAGTTTATTTTAAAATCCCTGTTTCAACTTATCACCAAATACAAGTGTTTCTTGTTTTCATATGTATCC